TGTGTGTGTGTGTGTGTGTGTGTGTGTGTGTGTGTGTGTGATAGGCACGAAAGTTATCGTTTTCTCTCCAGACTCAAACATAACAAAATCACAAGAATTCACTGAGTTGCCTTTGTGTCCTACAGGTATATGTTTAGGAGTGACTTTCGTTCCAGCGATTTCCATGATCAGCCAATACTTTGTCAGACGTCGGTCTCTGGCCACGGCCTTGGCCAACTGTGGGATCAGTGTGGGCAACATGGCCGCCCCGCCTCTGGTGAGAGCTCTTGTGGAGGTGAGCGACGCTTAAACGCCAGTATTATCACGTTATGTTATAACTATCGTTACCGCTATAAAATGTTATTACTTAATATTTCCCTTTACATTATCACTATATTATTATTATTATTATTATTATTATTATTATTATCACAATGCGTTGTCCCTATATTATTATTATATGCCACGACATGGTAAAATTTGGTTTTATTTTGGGGCATACAGAGTTATTGGTATAATCTTAAAGAGTATTTTTTGTCTTGCTTTGGGTAGGAAAAAATACCCACCTATTTTGAATGAAAGTCGAAATGTTTGCGATTGAAGGAGGTGAAGGTCACCTGGTGTCAGAGATAAACTTAGTGAGGAGTTGACCGCCAAATTTAATTGACATCCAGAGCGAAGAAACTGCAAATTTACATTTGTGTGCCTTTGATCAACGATTTTCAGTAAAAAATCCCCACAGAAACATTTTCCCTCTCAGAAAAAAGAGAGAAAAAAAGAACGGAGGAAAATAAAAACAAAAATTGTCTAGAGAGTGGAAAATTCTGTTTTCTTTCTTTTTCGCTTTCATTATCTTGACAAACGCCTGATCTCACCACAATGCGTTACAAGTGCTAACTTTATTTTATATCAACACTTTATACACCATTACTTCGAGATAGGGAAGTAAAGGCGGCGTGGAAAGGAGCTAGCCACCCTACAACAATATGCCGAAGGCCCAGGAAGTTGTCTCACTAACAAGGCAATCCCCAAAGTCCGGATCGGATGCGGGAACAACTTTACTTTACACCATTGCAATACGTCACCATTATTTTTGTTGTTTATTGTGCTGTTCTCCCAGTCGATATCATGCTGGCCCGTGGTGGGTATAGTTCTGTTACGATTCTACAATAGGGCAGTCTACAAGCTGTCAGTGAGGTCCACGCATTTGGCTGGGTTCTATAGGAGATGGACTCGGACGTTTCGCGTCTTAAATAATTTTACAATGTTGTAAGCGGCATTTTCGTTATTGCTGTTGTTAATGTTGCCGTTGTGAGTGACAGCACTTTCCGAACGTTGATCTTGTTTCAAACAAACATGATACACGCCCCCCTCCCCCCC